TCCTGAGACTTTGCTGAAGTTGCTTATCAGTTTCAGGAGATTTTGGGCTGAGACGATGGGGTCTTCTAGATATATAATCATGTCATCTGCAAATAGAGACAGTTTGACTTCCTCCTTTCCTATTTGAATACCCTTTATTTCTTTTTCTTGCCTGATTGCTCTGGCTAGAAATTCCAGTACTATATTGAATAGGAGTGGTGAGAGAGGGCATCCTTGTCCAGTGCCAGATTTCAAAGGGAATGCTTCCAGGTTTTGCCCATTCAGTATGATATTGGCTGTTGGTTTGTCATACATAGCTTTTATTATTTTGAGATATGTTCTGTCAATACGTAGTTTATTGAGGGTTTTTAGCATAAAGCGCTGTTGAATTTTGTCAAATGCCTTCTCTGCATCAATTGAGATAATCATGTGGTTTTTGTCTTTGGTTCTGTTTATGTGGTGAATTACGTTTATAGACTTGCGTATGTTGAACCAGCCTTGCATCCCCGGGATGAATCCTACTTGATCATGGTGGATAAGCTTTTTGATGTGCTGTTGCAATCGGTTTGCCAGTATTTTATTGAAGATTTTTGCACCTATGTTCATCACAGATACTGGCCTGAAGTTTTCTTTTCTTGCTGAGTCTCTGCCGGGTTTTGGTATCAGGTTGATGTTGGTCTCATAAAATGATTTGGGAAGGATTCCCTCTTTTTGGATTGTTTGGAATAGTTTCAGAAGGAATGGTACCCGCTCCTCTTTGTATGTCTGGTAGAATTCGGCTGTGAACCCATCTGGACCTGGGCTTTTTTTGGGTGGTAAACTCTTAATTGCTGCCTCAACTTCAGACCTTGTTATTGGTCTATTCAGGGTTTCAACTTCTTCCGGGTTTAGGCTTGGGAGGATGCAAGTGTCCAGGAATTTATCCATTACTTCCAGGTTTACTAGTTTATGTGCATAGAGTTGTTTGTAATAATCTCTGATGATGGTTTGTATTTCTGTGGAATCTGTGGTGATATCCCCTTTATTGTTTTTTATTGCATCTATTTGATTATTCTCTCTTTTCTTTTTTATTAATCTGGCTAGTGGTCTATTTTGTTGATCTTTTCAAAAAACCAGCTCCTGGATTTATTGATTTTTTTTTGAAGGGTTTTTTTTTTTTTGTCTCTGTCTCCTTCATTTCTGCTCTAATCTTCGTTATTTCTTGTCTTCTGCTCGGTTTTGAGCTTTTTTTGATCTTGTTCATCTAGCTCTTTGAATTTTGACGATGGGGTGTTGATTTTAGATCTCTCCTTGCTTCTCATATGGGCATTTATTGCTATATATTTTCCTCTAGAGACTGCTTTAAATGTGTCCCAAAGATTTTGGTATGTTGTATCTTCATTCTCGTTGCTTTCGAAGAACATCTTTATTTCTGCCTTCATTTCATTGTTTATCCAGTGAACATTCAAGAGCCAGTTGTTCAGTTTCCATGAAGCTGTGTGGTTCTGAGTAGTTTCTGAATTCTGAGTTCTAACTTGATTGCACTGTGGTCTGAGAGACTGTTATGATTTCCGTTCTTTTGCATTTGCTGAGGAGTGATTTACTTCCAATTATGTGGTCAATTTTAGAGTAGGTGCAAGGTGGTACTGAGAAGAATGTATATTCTGTGGATTTGGGGTGGAGAGTTCTGTAAATGTCTATTAGGTTTGCTTGGTTCAGGTCTGAATTCAAGTCCTGGATATCCTTGTTAATTTTCTGTCTTGTTGATCTGTCTAATATTGACAGTGGGGTGTTAAAGTCTCTCACTATTATTGTGTGGGAGTCTAAGTCTCTTTGTAAGTCATTAAGAATTTGCCTTATGTATCTGGGTGCTCCTGTATTGGGTGCATATATATTTAGGATCGTTAGCTCTTCTTGTTGCATTGATCCTTTTACCATTATGTAATGTCCTCCTTTGTCTCTTTTCATCTTTGTTGGTTTAAAGTCTATTTTATCAGAGATTAGAATTGCAACTCCTGTCTTTTTTTGCTCTCCATTTGCTTGTTAAATCTTTCTCCATCCCTTTATTTTGAGCCTTTGTGTATCCTTGCATGTGAGATGGGTTTTCGCTTTTTATCCAAATTGCCAGTCTGTGTCTTTTGATTGGGGCATTTAGCCCATTTACATTTAGGGTTAATATTGTTATGTGTGAATTTGATCCTGCCATTTTGATGCTAGCTGGCTGTTTTGCCCGTTAGTTGATGCAATTTCTTTATTGTGTTGATGCTCTTAACATTTGGTATGTTTTTGGAGTGGCTGGTACTGGTTGTTCCTTTCTATGTTTAGTGTCTCTTTCAGGAGCTCTTGTAAAGCAGGCCTGGTGGTGACGAAATCTCTGAGTACTTGTTCGTAAAGGATTTTATTTTTCCTTCACTTATGAAGCTTAATTTGGCTGGATATGAAATTCTGGGTTGAAAGTTCTTTCTTTAAGGATGTTGAATATTGGCCTTAACTCTCTTCTGGCTTGTAGGATTTCTGCTGAGAGATCTGCTGTGAGTCTGATGGGCTTCCCTTTGCAGGTATCTCGACCTTTCTCTCTGGCTTCCCTTAGCATTTTCTCCTTCATTTTAACCCTGGTGAATCTGAGGATTATGTGCTTTGGGGTTGCTCTTCTTGAGGAATATCTTTGTGGTGTTCTCTGTATTTCCTGGACTTGAATATTGGCCTGCCTTGCTAGGTTGGGGAAGTTTTCCTGGGTAATATCTTGAAGAGTATTTTCCAGCTTGGATTCATTGTCTTTGTCACATTCAGGTAACCTGTCAAACGTATAGATTAGGTCTTTTCACTTAGTCCCATATTTCTTGGAGACTTTGTTCATTCCTTTTTACCCTTTTTTCTCTAATCTTGCCTTCTCATTTTATTTCATTAAGTTGATCTTCGACCTCTGATATCCTTTTTTCTGCCTGGTCACTTTGGCTGTTGAAACTTGTGTCTGCTTTGTAAAGTTCTCGTGTTGTGTTTTTCAGCTCTATCAATTCACTTATATTCCTCTCTAAGTTGTTTATTCTTGTTAGCATTCATAAAATCTTTTTTCAAGGTTCTTAGTTTCTTTGCATTGGGTTAGAACATGTTCTTTTCGCTCACAGAAATTTCTTATTACCCACCTTCTGAAGCCTGATTCTGTCAGTTCATCACACTCATTCTCCATCCAGCCTTGTTCCCTTGCTGGTGAGGAGTTGTGATCCCTTGTAGGATGAGAGGTGTTCTGGTTTCAGATGTTTTCATTTTTTTGTGCTGGTCTCTTCCCATCTTTGTGGATTTATCCACCTGTCATCTTTGTAGTTGTTGATTTTCAGATTGGGTCTCTGAGTGGATGTCTAGTTTGTTGATGATGAAGTTATTTCTTTCTGTTTCTTAGTTTTCCTTCTAACAGTCTGGCCCCTCTGCTGTAGGATTGCTGAGGTCCACTTCAGGCCCTGCTTGCCTGGGGATCACCTGCAGCGGCTGCAGAACAGTAAGGGTTGCTGCCAGTTTCTTCTTCTGCTATCTTTGTCCCTGAAGGATACCCACCAGATGTCAGTCTGAGCTCTCCTTTATGAGGTGACTCTTTGGATATACGAGGGTCAGGGAGCTACGTGAGGAGACAGTCTGTCCTTTATAGGAGCTCAAGTGCTGAGCTCTGAGCTCTGTTGTTCATTCAGAGCTGCTGGGCAGGTGCATTTAAGTCTGCTTTAGCAGAACTCATAAACCACCCCCTTTTTTTTCCCAGGTGCTCTGTCCTGGGGAGTTAGGGCTTTATTTACGAGTTTCTGTTGTGCTGCTAGCTTTTTTCAGGGCTGCCCTGCCCAGCAAGGAGGCAGCCTAATCACTGTCTGACTGCAGAGGCTTTGCTCAGCTGCTGTGGGCTCCGTCCAGCTGCCGTGTGAACTTCCCTGCAGTCCTGTTTATACGGGTGTAGTCAGAACTGCCTCGGCAATGGTGGGCCACCTCTATAATGGTGGACTCTCTGTAATGGTGGGCTGCCTTGGCAACAGTGGGCTGCCTCAGCAATGGCGGACTACCTCCATAGTGGTGGACTGCCTTGGTAATGGCGGACGCCCCTCCTCCACAGAGCTGGACTGTCTCGGGTTCAGCTGTGCTTGCTGTGAAACTCTCAATCCAGAGAGTTTCCGATTGCTATTTTTTTGTGGGGGTGGGACCAGCCGAGCCTGATCACCTGGCTCCCTGCCTCAGAGCCTATTTTTTAGTTGAACAGTCGACTGTCTCCCAGGTGTTCAAGTCGCCTGTTGAAAAGGTGCTGGGGTCTGTGTGATTTCCTGTGTGGTGACCCACTGCACCGGGTGAAACAGTGGCGCTGAGATTTGTGGCGCTTTTTTGCCCAGGAATCTCCTGGCCTGGCTCCCTGTTTCAGTCCCCTTTTTAAGCAGATGAATGGGTGACTCTGCCTTCCCGGAGCTCTAATTGCCAGCTAAACTGGTGCCTGGACCCGTGTATTTTGTATGGTGATCTGCCACCCTGGCACCGGCAAAACAGCCACTCTGGTGAAAACAGCCACGCAGGCCAAAGCAGCCGCGCTGGCAACCTATTGGGCTCCTCTGCCTGGGAATCTCCTGGTCTGTGGGGAATAAAAATCCATCTGGAACTGCAGCATCTACTCACCCTCCATGTTCTCACTGGGAGCTGCAATCCTAGGCTGCTCCTAATCGAATCCTTGGATTACGATTTATTTATTTATTTTTAACCCCTTACTGTCATTCCCAAGGTTCACTTTTTTTAAAACCTGCTGGAGTGCAGTGGCACAGACTTCAACTGCTGAGCACTCTGGGAAATAAAAAATTCTGCTATGAAAACAGTGATTTCATTTTGGAGAAGGGGAAGATTAGGAGCTAGAGTTCAACATATAACACATTTTACCTGGGGCATATTTAATTAAAATATATTAGATGCAGATATAACTGTAAGTCTAAACTAACTAAATCTAATATTTTATTACATCTTTCTGTTCTTTCATTCATTCATTCATTCATTCATTCGTTTGTTTGTTTGTTTGTTTTGAGACAGAGTTTTCCTCTTGTTGTCCAGACTGGAGTGCAGTGGCGTGCTATCTTGGCTCATTGCAACCTCTGTCTCCTAGGATCAAGTGATTCTCCTGCCTCAGCCTCCAGAGTAGCTAGGATTACAGGCATGCATCACCATGCCCATCTAATTTTGTATTTTTAGTAGAAATGGGATTTCACCATGTTGGCTAGGCTGGTCTTGAACTCTTGATCTCAGGTGATCCACCCACCTCACCCTCCCAGAGTGCTAGGATTACAGGCTTGAGCCACCATGCCTGGCTTTCCTTTTTTTTTTAAGAGTGATACTTGGGGCCAGACCGGAAGCACACCGCTGGAGCTAGATCCTGCTCCTCTGGGTTGAAATTCGGGCGCCGCCAAGATGCCGGCTTACCACTCTTCTCTCATGGATCCTGACACCAAACTCATTGGAAACATGGCACTGTTACCTATCAGAAGTCAATTCAAAGGACCTGCCCCCAGAGAGACAAAAGATACAGATATTGTGGATGAAGCCATCTATTACTTCAAGGCCAATGTCTTCTTCAAGAACTATGAAATTAAGAATGAAGCTGATAGGACCTTGATATATATAACTCTATACATTTCTGAGTGTCTGAAGAAACTCCAAAAGTGCAATTCCAAAAGCCAAGGTGAGAAAGAAATGTATACACTGGGAATCACTAATTTTCCCATTCCTGGAGAGCCTGGTTTTCCACTTAATGTGATTTACGCCAAACCTGCAAACAAACAGGAAGATGAAGTGATGAGAGCCTATTTACAACAGCTAAGGCAAGAGACTGGACTGAGACTTTGTGAGAAAGTTTTTGACCCTCAGAATGATAAACCCAGCAAGTGGTGGACTTGCTTTGTGAAGAGACAGTTCATGAACAAGAGTCTTTCAGGACCTGGACAGTGAAGGGAGCTCGGGCAGCCACCATCTCCAGATTCCTGGGCAGCATTTTCCAGCAAGATATACACAATCTTTTGCCTTTATTTCATAAAGTTTTATACAGAAGAGAGAAGAGCATGTCTTTACTTGAGAAACTCTTGATCAAGAATTTGGGTAGGAGAAAAGAAAGTGTGTTATCAAGGGTGATTTGAAATTTTCTGCAGTATTAAGCTGGCGCTTAATAAGAATATGTAATAATAAAGAAATTTCTAACATTCCAAAAAAAAAAAAAAAGAGTGATACTTGGGCTACAAGGAGGCTGAGGTAGGAGGATTACATGAGCCCAGGAGTTCAGAGTTACATTGAGCCAAGAGTAATGCTTGGGCCTCCTTCTTCCTTTTTTTTTTTTTTTTTTTAAAGTGATGAGGTCTCACTATATTGCCCAGGCTATTCTCAAACTCCTGGGTTTAAGCCATCCTCCTGCCTTGGTGCCTCCTAAGGTACTTGGGACTACTAGTGTGAGCCACCATGCCCGTCACCCCTTCCCACTTTTTTTGGTTTAAGTGACTGGTCCCACACACACTGCTTGCTGCATGTTCTTTATCATCCACTGCTCTTATAATTCACAGAACAACTCAAAGAAGGCAGGTGTTGTCTGGGCATTCCTTCATTCAACAAATGTCTGAGGGTTTCTGCTATACCTTTCACCATCCTGTGCCCTGGAGGAATAGCAACCATGTTTTTCCAAGTAAACTGAAGATTCCAGGATCTCTTCTCTTCTAGCCCTGATTGAGGCCATTATGCTTTCATAGTGGTTTCCTGATTGGTTGTTCCCTGCTTATAGTCTTCCTACCTCCGAAATACTTGTCAGTATGTGGCCGTAGACTTCTGGTAAACATGAAAGAATGAACACATATATTTATCTCTACTCTCTCCCAAATCTCTTTCGAAAAATAACAGTAAAGGGGCTGGACACAGTGGCTCACGCCTGTAATCCCAGCACTTTGGGAGACTGAGGCAGGAGGATCACTTGAGGTTAGGAGTCGAGACCAGCCCGGCCGACATGATAAAACCCCATCTCTACCAAAAATACAAGCATTAGCTGTGTATGGTGGTGCATACTTGTAACCCCAGCTACTTGGGAGACTGAGGCAGGAGAATCGCTTGAACCCAGGAGGCAGAGGTTGCAGTGAGCCGAGATTGAGCCACTGTACTCCATCCTGGACAACAGAGTGAGACTTCGTCTCAAAAAAAAAAAAAGTAACAATAAAGGAATTAGACAAAAGTACATATTCATTGTAAAAAAAGAGAATGGGGGCCAGGCACGGTGGCTCATGCCTATAATCCCAGAATCCCAGCACTTTGGGAGGTAGAGGTGGGCCGATTACCTGAGGTCAGGAGTTTGAGACCAGCCAGACCAACACAGAGAAACCCCATCTCTACTAAAAATACAAAATTAGCCAGTCATGGTGGTGCACGCCTGTAATCCCAGCTACACGGGAGGCTGAGGCAGGAGAATGGCTTGAATCTGGGAGGCAGAGGTTGTGGTGAGCCAAGATCACACCACTGCACTCCATCCTGGGCAGCAAGAGGAGACTCCACTCAGAAAAAGAATAGTAAAAAGAGGGATGACTGGCAAGTGATGACAAGAACATTTCTCTTATAGAAGAAACAAAATTGCACATGAAAGGAACTATGAATTTACTATACTATTCCTGTATTTGTGAATATTTATATAGTCATAATACTGTAATAATTTACAGTAACCCAAACATGGGATATAACTATTTTGGAAGCATGGGGGAGAAAAGAGGGTAGGAACAAATTATCTCCCATCGTAGGAAACCAGTAGATAATAGCAGTAATTGAGAAATCAGTAATAGGCCAAGTGCAGTGCACACGCCTGTAATCCAAACGCTTTGGGAGACTGAGGTGGGCAGATAGATCACTTGAGGTCTGGAGTTTGAGACCAGCCTGGCCAACATGGTGAAACCCTGTCTCTACTAAAAATACAAAAATTAGCTGGGTGTGGTGGTGTACACCTGTAATCCCAGCTACTCGGGAGGCCAAGGCAGGAGAATCCTTTGAACCTGGGAGGCAGAGGCTACAGTGAGCCAAGATCACGCCACTGTACTCCAGACTGGGCAAGAAAGTGAGACTGTTTAAAAGATTTTTTTTAAAGAAATATCAGTAATATTAGAAATATGATGGTTAATTATCAGAAGGAAAGAAAAAAAATTTGATAGCCTCTGCCAACAACAATCAAGAGGGTGGGTCTTGGGGCTGGAAGCTGCTATTTAACTTTATTAGCCTTGAATACTTTTTAACTTAATTATCGGTGTATAGTACTTTGATAAAAATAAAAATTTTAAAGCTGTCCACTGTGTAATTTTCTTACTGAAAAATGTCAAAAGATTCTCTTACCTGCCACACAGATGACAAGTTCCTTATTTTTCAACCTGATCTCTATATTATTTATATAAGCCTTTGCTTCCCACTGAACTGGTATTAGCCCTTGACTCCTGAATCTACTTTGAGCAGTAACCTCTTTCTATCCTGAAACATTCTCCTTTCCTCCTATCCACTTGCTTCAAGCCCTAGCTTCTCTGTCCTCTGTTAGTTTCCTGCTTCTCCTCAGGTGGCCGCCAGTGCCCAATGGCCCCTTCCTAAATGGCTGTGGCTGTGGTTGTCTGTTCCCTCATTAGATACTCACATTGCCCTTTCTCATTTGTAATGCCTTTTTTTTTTTAAAGATGGAGTCTCACTCTGTTGCCCAGGCTGGAGTACAGTGGCACAATCTCAGCTCACTGCAAGCCCGGCCTCCTGGGTTCAAGTGATTTTCCTGCCTGTGCCTCCCAAGTAGCTGGGACTACAGGCACGTGCCACCATGCCCAGCTCATTTTTGTATTTTCTAATAGAGATAGGGTTTTACAACATTGGCCAGGCTGGTCTTGAACTCCTGGCCTCAGATGATCTGCCCACCTCAGTCTCCCAAAGTGCTGGGAATACAGACGTGAGCCACTGCACTGGCCTCATTTATAATGCTTTTGATGGAAATCTTCTCTCCCCAAGTGGATTGTAGACTCCAACCAAGCAAGACGTAATCTTATTACCATTTTACATACATCTTCCACAGTGCTGTTTGATAAATATCTGTTTAATATTCAGTTCTCACTCAGCCATCGAAAAGCTTTCTGTTTTGAGATCACTGTTCTTTATTCTAGGCATGTCTCAAGACTCTGTACTTTTAGTCTAGATCCCAAATCTTTGTGTCTTTGTCAGCCTTAGTGAGGTTGAAGGCCAAGGCTTTATCTCTTTGCGAGTGATACTGTCGCCGGGTGGCACAGTGTGCTAGTTGTTTTTTTATAGAACATAACATGAACAATTTCTAACCGTATAATTTCTGTGAATGTTTAAGCAAGACTATGTATACATTTCAGAAGTTTTGTGTTATGTGTGAGACGTGCTAATTTATCATTGGCATCACTATTTTGGGGATGGATGAACCTTTTTCCTTTCTACCTCCTTGCCTCATGATCCCTTACACTGCAAAGAGCAAGGAAAAACCAAAAGTAAACAAAGCCCTGTGTAATCTCCACTTTTTCTCTTTGTACTCTCTAAGAATAACCACCTGGTTTTGCATGCTCCCTAGAGAGGCTTCCTCTGTGATATATCTTAGCCTATGGAGCCCCAAAGTTACTTGAAACATTTAGGTCACTAGTTTTTAATCTTTAGAGAACAGTGAACTCTCTGAGAAAGTATGGTAAAAACTTAGACCGTAACCTCAAAAAAAAAATATGTACACATAACTGTGGTAATGTGTACCCAGGATTTGGTTTCTTTTGTTTTGTTTTTGAGACAGAGTTTCAGTCTTGTTGCCCAGGCTGGAGGGCAGTGGCACAATCTCAGCTCACGGCAACCTCCACCTCAGAAAAAATATGTACACATAACTAGTAATGTGTGCCCAGGATTTTTTTTTTTTTTTGGTTTGTTTGTATTTGTGTTTTTGTTTTTGAGGCAGAGTTTCACTCTTGTTGCCCAGGCCAGAGTGCAATGGTGCTATCTCGGCTCACCACAACCTCTGCCTCCCGGATTCAAGCAATTCTCCTGCCTCAGCCTCCCAAGTAGCTGGGATTACAGGCATGCGCCACCATGCCTGGCTAATTTTGTATTTGTAGTAGAGACAGTGTTTCTCCATGTTGATCAGGCTGGTCTCAAACTCCTGATCTCAGGTGATCAGCCTGCCTGGGCTCCCAAAGTGCTGGGATGACAGGTGTGAGCCACCACACCTGGCCCAGGATTTTGGTTTTATTTCGATATGGTAAGGACAAAAAAGATGAAGAGATGATTGCCATTGAAGGGATAGTTTGTTCCCTACAGTTCCCAAGAGATGAAGTTGTGCCATGCCATGCCCCACAACACAAGGCCATATGGGGAAGTACCAGGGAGTCAGGAGGCAAAAGGAGGGTGTGGGAGGAGCATGAGCCTTTATTGGAGTTTTCAGGGGAAGGGGTAGGTGAGGCTAAGTAAGTGTAGGATTGGATCAGTTTGAGTAATTTTGGCAGTCTCTGGGCTGTAGGTGTGGGCACTAGTTGTCCATACTTGGCCCTGGGGTGATTAGGGCTGAGGGAATATTGTCTTGGTGTTTAATAAAGGAGGTAGTTAGGGTATGGACTCTGAATTTGTTGGTTTGCATATGAAAGGCAAGTTGTTTGCCATCTCTAGGAATTAACTAACCCTGGGAGGTACAGTTGCTTATCTGCAAAGCCCCGAAGATGTCAAAGCATCATCAAATAAAGAAAATAAAAAATATGATTAATATAATAACACTCTCATGCACACATGCACAATTTTGTTTGCTATTTCAGGGGTTTCTTGAACCACCTGAAGCCTATCTGTAGACCTAAGGTTCAAAACCCAGATTGGATCCTGGGAGGTCTGTGCCTTCGAATACAGTATTTGAGTTTGTTTGTTTGTTTGTTTATTTTGAGATGGAGTTTCACTCTTGTTACCCAGGCTGGAGTGCAATGGCGCGATCCCGGCTCACCGCAACCTCTGCCTCCTGGGTTCAAGCAAGTCTCCTGCCTCGGCCTCCCGAGTAGCTGGGATTACAGGCGTGCACCACCATGCCCAGCTAATTTTTCGTATTTTTAGTAGAGATGGAGTTTCACCATGTTGACCAGCATGGTCTCGATCTCTTGACCTCATGATCCACCCGCCTCAGCCTCCCAAAGTGCTGGGATTACAGGCATGAGCCACCACGTCCGGCCCAGTATTTGAGTTTAGTTTAGACCA